CCAGAACCTGCCTGTACAAGTGTTACGAATAAAGAAAAAGAAAACGTGGATGCATCAAGGTATTCATATTTTAATGTAGTCAGTATTTTACTTTTTAGAGGAAAACCTATCATTTTGAAAATGTCAGATTCATCTGTTCCCCGATCCTGCCCACTAAAGTCCCTTGCTATTGCATTTTATTTTCCAGAATCAGATTTCATCACATGACAACATGAAGCTGTGGATTCATCTCTTATATGCATCTCTCCTTGCCTGTATATCTTTACAGTCCCAAATGTCAATGCCCTCAGCCAGAGGCTCTTGTGATTCTCTTTGCAATTGTGAGGAAAAAGATGGCACAATGCTAATAAATTGTGAAGAAAAAGGTATCAAGAAGTTATCCCAAATAATTGTGCCACCATCACGACCTTTCCACCTAAGCTTATTAAATAATGGCTTGACAATGCTTCACACAAATGACTTTTCTGGGCTTACTAATGCTATCTCAATACACCTTGGATTTAACAATATTGCAGATATTGAGACAGGTGCATTTAATGGCCTTGGCCTCCTTAAACAACTTCATATCAATCACAATTCTTTAGAAATTCTTAAAGAGGATACCTTTCACGGACTGGAAAACCTGGAATTCCTACAAGCAGATAACAATTTTATTACAGTGATTGAACCAAGTGCCTTTAGCAAGCTCAGCAGACTTAAAGTGTTAATATTAAATGACAATGCCATTGAGAGCTTTCCTCCAAACATATTCCGTTTTGTTCCTTTAACCCATCTAGATCTTCGTGGAAACCAGTTGCAAACATTGCCTTATGTTGGTTTTTTAGAACACATTGGCCGAATATTGGATCTCCAGTTGGAGGACAATAAATGGGCCTGCAATTGTGACTTATTGCAGCTAAAAATTTGGTTGGAAAACATGCCTCCACAGGCAATAATTGGTGATGTTGTGTGCAATAGCCCTCCATTTTTCAAAGGAAGCATACTAAGTAGAATAAAAAAGGAGTCTATTTGCCCCATTCCACCAGTTTATGAAGAACATGAGGATCCTTCAGGATCATTACACCTGGCAGCAACATCTTCAATAAGTGATAGTCACATATCGACCAAGACCACATCCATTTTAAAACTGCCCACCAAAGCTCCAGGTTTGATACCTTATATTACAAAGCCACCCACTCAGCTTCCAGGACCCTACTGTCCCATTCCTTGTAATTGCAAAGTCTTATCCCCATCAGGACTCCTAATCCACTGTCAAGAACGCAACATTGAAAGCTTATCAGATCTACAACCTCCTCCACAGAATCCTAGAAAGCTTATTCTAGCAGGGAATATTATTCACACTTTAATGAAGTCTGATCTAGTTGAATATTTCACTTTGGAAATGCTCCACTTGGGAAATAATCGTATTGAAGTTCTTGAAGAAGGATCATTTATGAATCTAACAAGATTACAAAAGCTCTATCTAAATGGTAACCATCTGACCAAATTAAGTAGAGGCATGTTCCTTGGTCTCCACAATCTTGAGTACTTATATCTTGAATACAATGCAGTTAAGGAAATATTGCCAGGAACATTTAACCCAATGCCTAAACTTAAAGTCCTCTATTTAAATAACAACCTCTTACAAGTTTTACCACCACATATTTTTTCAGGAGTTCCCCTAACTAGGGTAAATCTTAAAACAAACCAGTTTACCCATCTGCCTGTAAGTAATATCTTGGATGATCTTGATTTACTGACCCAGATTGACCTTGAGGATAACCCCTGGGACTGCTCCTGTGACCTGGTTGGATTGCAGCAATGGATACAAAAATTAGGCAAGAACACAGTGACAGATGACATCCTTTGCACTTCTCCAGGGCATCTCGACAAAAAAGAATTGAAAGCCCTAAATAGTGAACTTCTCTGCCCAGGTTTAGTAAATAACCCATCCCTGCCAACTCAGACTGGTTTCATTATTGTCACTACTCCTACAACAACAACAAATACAGCCGATACTATTTTAAGATCTCTTACTGATGCTGTACCACTATCTGTTCTGATATTAGGACTTCTGATTGTGTTTATAACTATTGTGTTCTGTGCTGCAGGGATAGTGGTTCTTGTTCTCCACCGCAGGAGAAGGTACAAAAAGAAACAAGCAAATGAGCAAATGAGAGACAACAGTCCTGTGCATCTTCAATACAGCATGTATGGCCATAAAACAACACATCACACTACTGAAAGACCCTCTGCCTCGCTGTACGAGCAGCACATGGTGAGCCCCATGGTTCATGTCTATAGAAGTCCATCCTTTGGTCCAAAGCATTTGGAAGAGGAAGAAGAGAGGAATGAGAAAGAGGGAAGTGATGCAAAACATCTCCAAAGAAGTCTTTTGGAACGGGAAAACCACTCACCTCTTACAGGGTCAAATATGAAATACAAAACCACAAACCAATCAACAGAATTTTTATCCTTCCAGGATGCCAGTTCATTGTATAGGAATATTTTAGAAAAGGAAAGAGAACTTCAGCAACTGGGAATTACGGAATACCTAAGAAAAAACATTGCTCAGCTCCAGCCTGATATGGAGGTACATTATCCTGGAGCCCACGAAGAGTTGAAATTAATGGAAACATTAATGTATGCACGGCCAAGGAAGGTCTTAGTGGAGCAGACTAAAAATGAATATTTTGAGCTCAAAGCTAATTTACATGCTGAACCTGACTATTTAGAAGTCCTGGAGCAACAGACATAGATGGAGAGTTTGAGGGCTTTTGCAGAAATGCTGTGATTCTGTCTTAAGTCCAAATCTTGTAAATAAGTGCCTTACATGAGTGTCATCAATCAGAACTAAACACAGCAGTAATCCTATGGGAAAAAAAGAAGAAAAAGAAACTCAGGGATCACTGGGAGAAGCCATGGCATTATGTTCAGGCAATTTAGTCTGTTCCAAATAAAATAAATCCTTGCATGTAAATCATCCAAGGATTATAGTAATATTTCTCCATATACTGAAAAGTGTTTCACAGAAGTCCTCTTGCACATTTAAAAAGGTTGAACATTTAAGCATCCC